CTGGGCTCGGGCGATCCTTCCGCCTCAGCCTTCCGAGTAGCCGGAAGTACAGGCACCCGCTACCACACCCGGCTGATTTTTGATTTATTGTAGAGATGAGGTCATGCCAAGTTGGCCAGGCAGGTCTCGAACCCGTGGGCTCAGGCAATCCACTCACCTCAGCCTCCCAAACACGCAGGATTACCGGCTGAGCCACTGAGCCTGGCTTAAATGTCCCTCTTTGTAGATCGCATGACTGTCTACATAGCAAATGCCAAAGGAGCCAGCTAAATCATACAAGTCAACAGTCTTCTTTACACTCGGAATGAACCATGTCAGAAGCAATGCCAATCACGGTAGCTCCCCAAAAGTGAAATATGTAGGCATAAATCTGACAAACATGTCCAGGATTACATGTTGAAGACTACAGAGTGCTGATAAAATCGAAGGACCAGGTGAACGGAGAGACAGCTTCTCAGAAGACTCACCTTGTGGAGACATGAACCATCCACACTGATCTGTGGATTTACCGCCATACCAAGCAAAACCGTGGTAGTGGCAGGCAAACCAGGGTTGCCAGGTGCAGGAATGGGAGGACTGCATGACTACCAAGAGAACCCTGGGAGTGACTGCTCTGGGTCACACAACTTTATTCCTGGGTCAGACTTTAGAAGCTTCCTTTTACATTTGGGGAGACAGAAGCCTCTGCCCCCGGGGGTCACCAGTGGTTACCTCATTGCTGATTCTGGAATCAGGACTCCTGTGGTCAGGGTTCTCCTCAGCCCACTACTTGTTAATCATCTGGGGCAAGTCACTCTTCCTTCCAGAGCCTTGGTTTTCTCACCCGTAACAAGAGGTCATACATCCCTCTCTGTTCACTGCATGGTTTATTAGTGAGACATCACAGTGAAAATCTTTATAAACTGCGAAGTACAGTCTCAGGCCTGTTTTCATGCTGTCTTGTGCCCTTTATACAAGTTCCCAGAGAGTAGTTTTTGATTGAAATGTATCACACGTAGAGAAAAGCGTCCATATCACAAACCAACAGCTTTTTTGGGCTTTTTCTCTCTCTCTCTCTCTTTTTTTCTGAGTTGGAATCTCATTCTGTCACCCAGGTTGGAGTGCAGTGGCACGCTCACAGTCACTGCAGGCTTGACCTGCTGGGCTCAGGGGATCCTTCTGCCTCAATCTTCCAAGTAGCTGGAACTATAGATGCACACCACCACACCCTGCTGAGTTTTTGATTTATCATAGAGACAAGGTCTTGCCAAGTTGCGCAGGCTGGTCTCAAACCCGTGGGCTCAGACAGTTCTCTCACCTCTGCCTCCCAAAGTGCTGGGGTTACAGGTGTGAGCCACCATGCCTGGCCAGCTTGTTGGATTTTCAGTGTGAACCTGCCATGGAACCAGCACCCAGATCTGGAAACAGAATGGCACCAGCACCTCAAAAGCCCCTCCAGCCTTTTGGCAGAGGCTGTGTTCTGTCCTCTGACACCCTGCGTTCGTTTTTATCGTATCATTGGAATCACTAGGAGTGTCTTGGGTCTAGCTACCTTCCCTCACCCTCACCTTGTGGGATTCACCCATGTTGTTGCACAGATTTGTAGGTCATCTGTTCTCGTTGCTGTGGAGGTATCTATGTTGTGAACACACACAGTGGGTTTATCCTGCCTGCTGTGGAAAGAGTTTTGAGGTCTTTCTGTCCAGGGCTGTTATGTAGGATCTCTTGGAGGTGAGTCATTGGGCACATGTACGATGCTCAACTTTGATGGATGCTGCCAGTGTCCCCAAGCGTCACATCCTCAGCAGCGCTTGGACTTTCGTGCACTCACAGAGGAAAGGATGGGGGGCGGTTCTCCCCTCCCCCGCCTCCTGCCTTAGGGCACTGGCTTCCAACTGATGTAAATACTGACTGTGCCAAGCACCAGGAGTACAGAGGCAAACAAGGCAAAGTCCCTGCTCTTAGACGCTCCCGGTGTGACAGCTGAGAGGGACTGGGGAAGAATTATGGCTTTCAAAACAGGGAGGTGCACGTGATGGTTGAAGTGGTAGTGTATTGGAATGCGTGATCACCCGGAGACTTCCTGAAAGAGGTGACTTCAGTTTTTAAATAATATGTAATGTATTAATATTTTACATATATTTAATAACACTTCTCTGATTTTCAGATTTGCTATAGGAATGTTTAGAAACTGGCCGAGTGCTGTTGCACATGCCTGTAATCCCAGCACTTTGGGAGGCCAAGGCGGGAGGATTGCTTAAGTTCAGGAATTAAAGGCCAGCCTGGGCAACATAGCAAGACCTTGTCCCTACCAAAAAGCAAAAAAAATAGTTGGGTGTGGTGGTGTGTGCCTGTAGTCCCAGCTACTTGGGAGACTGAAGCAGAAGGATTGCCTGAGCCCAGGAGGCAGAGCTGTGATTATGCCACTGCCCTCCAGCCTAGATGACAATGAAACCCCGACTCATTGTATTTTTTTCAGTTCCCTCTCCCCCTGCCCTCCACCTGAGGGCTTACCACTGGCACTGGAGTGCAGCTTGTACATTTTATTTTATTTTATTTATTTATTTTTAGTTGAAGTCTCACTCCGGCACCCATGGCATGCTCATGGCCACCCCAGCATCGACCTGTTGAACCCTGGCGATTCTTCTGCCTCAGCCTTCCAAGTAGCTGGAATTACAGTTGCATGCTACCATGCCTGGCTAATTTTTGGTTTATTGTAGAGATGAGGTCTCGCCAAGTTGCCCAGGCTGGTCTTGAACCCACAGGCTCAGGCAGTCCTCCCACCTCCACCTCTCAAAGTGTTGGGATTACAGGCATGAGCCACTGCACTTGGATGATTCAACCTTTAAAATGTACAAGCTGGGCCAGGCTCAGTGTGGTTCTAGCTACTTGGAAAGCTGAGAAAGAAGGATCACCTGAGTCCAGCAGGTGTAGGCTGTGGTGGCCATGAGCATGCCACTGCACTTCAGCCTGGGTGACAGAGTGAGACTCCTACTCAAAAAAATAAATGAAAAGGTTGACTCAAGAGCACTTTTTCTGGTGGCAGCGGTTTTTTTTTTCCCCCCTTCTTATTTATTCATTCAAGCAAACAAAATTTTTTTAGAGACTCAGTCTCACTATCTTGCCCAGGCCAGTTTCCAACTCCTGGCCTCAAGTGATCCTCCCACCTCAGCCTCTCAAGTAGCTAGAATTTTTTTTTTTTTTTGAGTTGGATCACTCCATCGCCCAGGCTGGAATGCAGTGGCATGCTCATGACCACCCCAGCGTCCACCTGCTGGGCTCAGGCGATCCTTCTGCTTCATTCTTCCAAGTAGCTGGAACTACAGGCACGGGCTACCATGCCTGGCTAATTATTTTTATTTATTGTAGACACGAGGTCTCACCAGGTTGCTCAGGTTGTTCTTGAACCTGTGGGTTCAGGCAATCCCTTCACCTCGACCTCCCAAAATCCTGGGATTACAGACTTGAGTCAGCTAGAATTACAAGGGTGAATCAGTATGCCTGGTGTTTTTTTTTTTTTAATTAAAAATAAGTTTAGTTTTGTTATTACCACATAATAATTGTACTGGAGCGATTTCTTATCTGCCGCATACTTTTTTAGTGGTAGCATGTGTAATACTGTCATTTCCCACAAGTGAAATGATCATTTTTATCCTGGTTTTGGTGGAAGTGATAACATTACTTCCCAATGAACTCTTTCCATCTAAAATTCTTCGTCTTCTTGTAACACTCATACATGTCAGGATTGGTACATTTCTCAGCTGCCAATGAGGTGTAGTCCCTTTTGATCCTAACAGGATGACCACAGTCTAAAAACATTCTTATGACATCAATACAAGCTTATTTTAGGCAACTTGGAAAATTCAAAGACAAAAAGAAAAGGAAATAATCATTCGCGTTCCAAAGAAAACCACAGTGTTGTGGTGTGTTTCCAGTCTTTTTTTTTTTTTAACATAACATTTAAATATATATATGGATAATACTGTATCTCAACACAAAAGAAAATTTAGGAAACACAGAAAAGACAATGTGGAAAAAAAAAAATCAGAGTCAGCTGTGATGCCACCACCCAGAAATGGCTACCCATACCAGCCAGTCTCTTCCCTTATGTGACACTTACTTTTTTTTATATCACTTGCCATAAAGGACAAGCCCTAGAAGAGAATGCAGCAAATGCAGGTGTCCTGTAAGAAAGGGTGGGCTCTTTGTTTTGTCCCTGATGTGCTTGGGACAGAGGTAATTAAAAGGCTGGAGATGAGTATTCTTGAATAGGGCTTCTCAAGGTGTGGTCCATGAAGCAGAAACTTGGGCCTTTCCTGAGAGCTTACTAGAAATATAATCAGGCCTGGTGCAGTGGCTCAAGCCTGTAATCCCAGCCCTTTGGGAGGTCGAGGCGAGAGGATTGCCTGAACTCAGGGGTTTGAGACCAGCCTGGGCAACTTGGTGAGACCTTGTCTCTACAATAAATCAAAAAATAAGCCAGGCAGCATGCACCTGTAGTTCCAGCTACTTGGAAGGCTGAGGCGGGAGGATTGCCTGAGTCCAACAGGTCGAGGCTGTGGTTGCTGTGAGTATGTCAGTGCCCTCCCACCTGGGCGACAGGAGACTCCAACTCAAAAAAGAAAAAAAAGAAAAAATATATATATAATCAACAGAGATGCTGGGGGTGAACCCGGGACTGTGTTTTAACAAGTCTTCCAGGAGATTCTGATGCAAGCGACAGTTTGAGAAGTACCACCCAAAAAGATTGACTGCTGGGAGGTGGTGAGCATCAGATGGATGGGAAGTGGGAGTTCACTTGAGACATGAAATGGAGTTACTTGATAGCACAGAGCTCACTGATACTTACAAGTGTTTGTGTGATTCACTTTCCTAAGAGGAACCACCTGGGTTTGGCATGCCTAGCCTGGAAGAGATGCTTAACAAATACTTGTTGAATAAATCAGGGAATAAATAAGCAAATGAAAAATGATCTCTGGAACTGTGCCTCACATGTCTTGTCTTCTCTTTTTTTAATTTCTAGGGTCGGAACATCAGTTAAAATCTGACCACTACCAGCCCACACCCTCCCTACCACGTCCACAGAATCTCCAGGCTCCAAAGAGGAAGTGGGTCTTGGGTGCACCATGATCTCACCATTCTTAGTACTGGTCATCGGCACCTGCCTTACCCACTGCTTAGTGCCAGGTAGGATTGGGGCACAGATGGAGGGAGGAGACCTTGTGCAGGGTGGGGTAGGATGAGGGCAGTGTCTGTATTCAAGGTCACGGAACTGTCCAAAGTATCAAAGAGCTAAAAACACATTGTTTGAAGCAGGAAGTCTCAGCTCTGCTACTGTATATGTTGGTTGGATAGGTCACTCTTTTCCCTTTCTGTTATCCTATTCTTTGATTGGAGTTTCTTTTTTTTTTTGGGTTAGAGTTTCACTCTGTCACCCAGACTGGAGTGCAGTAGCCGCTCCCGGCCACCGCAGCCTCGACCTGCTGGGCTCCGGCGATCCTTCCACCTCAGCCTTCTGAGTAGCCGGAATTACAGGCATGCGCTACCATGCCCGGCTGATTTTTTGATTTACTGTAGAGATGAGGTCTCGCTGCCCAGGCGGGTCTCAAACCCACGGGCTCCGGCAATCCACTCACCTCAGCCTCCCAAAGGTGCGGGATTATAGGCTGAGCCACTGAGCCCGGCTATGATTGGAGTTTCTATTTTCTCTCTTCTATCTCTAGTAGTCTGACATATAACTAATTCCATAGACTCTTCTGGTTCTTGGTACACTAAGTTTCCTGTTGGTTTTAACTGCTTACTCTCCCTCATGGTAGCATGTTTTCTGTTTTTTGTTTTTTTTTTTTTGAGTTGGAGTCTCATTCTGTCGCCCAGGCTGGAGTACAGTGGCACACCCACGGCCACTGCAGCCTCTATCTACTGTGCTCAGGTGATGCTTCCGCCTCAGCCTTCCAAGTAGCTGAAACTACAGGCCTACACCACCACACCCAGCTAAATTTTTGATTTATTGTAGAGATGAGGTCTTGCCAAGTTGCCCAGACTGGTCTCGAACCTGTGCGCTCAGGCAATCCTCTCACCTGTCTCCCAAAGTGCTGGGATTATAGGCATGAGCCCATGGCCATGGTAGCACATTTTCTTGTCTTTGTAGTGCTTGCTAGGGAACTCATCTTCGACAGGGTTTTTGTTTTATTCTTCTGCTGGAGACTCCTGTGGAAGTGTCTCTGCAGTGTGGTATGGTGTTTGATTCTTTCAGCACCCTAGGGCTTCTAATTCTACACCAGTTTTAGTTTGTTTTTTTTTTTCCCTTCAGTTGGAGTCTCATTCTGTCGCCCACTCTGCTGTTATTTATTGTAGAGATGAGGTCTCACCAAATTGCCCAGGCTGGTCTCGAGCCTGCAAGTTCAGGCAATCACTCACCTTGGCCTCCCAAAGTGCTGGGATTATAGGCTGAGCCACCCAGCCTGGCCTAGACCAGTTTTTATGTTAACTTCTCAAGACTGCAATTTAAGAACAAAGTCTTGAAACGTTGCAATTCGGTTTTTTATCTGTTTCATTTTAGCCATCCTGATGGGTATGTAGTGGTATTACATTGAGTTTTCTTTTTAATTAGGTATAACTTACAGTGAGGACATGAATCTTGAATGTATAGTGTGATGCATTTTTACATGTGTTTATACCCACCACCCAGATCAAGACAGAACATTTCTGCTCATGGTGTCAGTAGGCTTTCCTGTGCCCTTCCCAGCCAACTTCCTCCCAAAGCCAAAGGAAATGACCAGGGTTACTCCTGCCACCAGAGACTCGTTTTGCTTGTTTTGAACTTTGTATCAATGGAATCTTACAGTGTGTATGGATAAGTACCCTTTCCACATAGCATTACGTCGTGAGCATTTGCGTGTGTCTTTTTTTTTTTTTTTTTTTTTTGAGTTGGAGTCTCACTCTGTTGCCCAGACTGGAGTGCAGTGGCCGCTCCCGGCCACTGCAGCCTCGACTTGCTGGACTCTGGTGATCCTTCCGCCTCAGACTTCCGTAGCTGGAATTGCAGGCATATGCTACCATGCCCGGCTGATTTTTTATTTATTGTAGAGATGAGGTCTCACTAAGTTGCCCAGGCAGGTCTCGAACCCGCGGGCTCAGGCAATCCACTCACCTCAGCCTCCCAAAGCGCGAGATTAGAGGCTGAGCCATCGAGCCCGGCTGTGTGTGTCTTTTAATAGTCTCCCAAAGCAATGACTTCCTGGTGTTCCGTTGTCCAGAGCTATCACTGCTCAAACCAGCCTTTCAACCTTTCTCGGGGATAGGCCCTAGGTGGCTCCGGTGAAAAAGACAAGGCTCTGCCTCGCTGGACTCCAGACTAGAGGTGGCAAGCCCAGGAGGACCAGGCGAGCTGGCGGCAGAGTGCGAATTGGGAAGAGCAGTGGGTGCTAAGTGGATGGACATCAGCCTAGCCCTGGGACCTGCCACGCCAAAGAGGTTCCATGACCAACACACCATGGTGTGTTTTGAGGCAGACGGGAAGGAGGTTGGAACCAGCCTGGGCCCGGGCAATGTCTCAGCAAAAATCGACCCAGGCTACCTGCCCAGGCTTATGTCATCCTTGCATGGCCTGTGGATGGTTCTTGGTCCCCACAGAAAGTTTGATGATATGAAATATGCTGTAGAAACTCAACTCCTGGGAAACTCAACTCTGGGCAGAAACTCTGGTGAGGGCAACTTGCCTGAAGTCACCCTGCTGGGTAAGAGCCAAGGCGCTCCCGAGTCCCAGCTGGACTCTGCCTGGGAGGGCTGAAGTGGCTGCCCTCAAGGGGGCTGGGGCTGCTGGTGAGGGCGGTGGGCCGAGGGATCCGGGTGAGGGTGATGGAAGGACATAAGAGAAATCCCCAGGGAAGACCGTGGGATACGCTTGGGTCCGAGACATGAGGGCCACTGGGACATGAGGGATTCCAGTCCCCCCTCTGCAGTTATAATCTTGACTTTTTCATTTCCTAATGTGGATGGAGGAAGTCATGGAACCACCCACTAGGGCTGTTGGGAGGATCGGAGGAGATGCCACAGGAGGGGGTAGTTGGCACCTTGCCCAGGACTTCACGTGTGTGAGAAAGGGAGAACTCTTCCACCCACAGTTGTCCGGACTGGGTCAGAGTCGGGCCAGAACCCACGGATGTGTCCTCAGCCCACACACATGCCACATGGCCTTGGGCAAGACCGCCCTCCCCTCCTGACCTCAGCCTCCCTGTCTATGCAGCAGGAGGCTGTCCAAGAGGAAGTTGCCGAGGAGCTCCTGTCTTCAGACCTCTGTGTTCTCATGGGCAGGTTGATAGAGCTCAGGGATGTGAGCGCCCTGCAGATGGTGGGAGAATCCTGGGCCTCTGCTTGGGAGAAAAATGCATCCCAGCCCTGGAGATGGGATTGTGGGAAGATGGGGGGCAACTTTGGACCCTCTCCTGTGGGTCAGGTGTGCCACTCACCTTATTCAGTTTAGTCCTTAGAAGCACCTTGGTTTTTTTTTTTTTTTTTTTTTG